TTGGCAAGAATGCCGGAGATGATAGTGTCTGCCCCTTCCAAATAGTTTCAGGATTCTATTTTTGCCATGTGAGATACATTCTGACATTTTCTATTATTCTTTTAAGGGCTGGTTTCACCGCCATTTGGTTCATAGCTGGCTGGCAAACACTACACAAGGCCAGCTCCCTTCCACTGGTTCTTTCTAGAAAGTCTCTCCCCTCTGCCCCTAGGGCTGGGGATTTAGCTCAGTGGTTCTGGTGCCTGCTTCTCAAGTGCAAGGACCAGAGTTCGATCCCTGGTACTGGGGGGCGGGGGACACTTCCTAGTAAAACCCTGTCTCTAAAAATGAAAAGGGCTAGGGATGTAATTCAGTGTGAAAGCCCTGGGTTCAATCCCCAGTACTAGAAGAAAAAGAAGGATAGGGGAGGTGGCAGGCAGAAGAGAGGAGGGGAGAGGAGAGGGACAAGACATATGGAAAAGATTTAATCTCTGAGAAATGTGGCAACATCTAGAATTTCTTACAAGTGCCTGTTGCTCGTAGAACTCTAAGTAACTCTCATAGTTAATTCTAGACCACGTACTTCCTGGACTTAGAACTAGCTGTGGCTCCCTCCGGCCACACTGGCACTAGTCTACCACCCCATCTAGCCTGCCACAACCCACCTTAAACCTCAGCAGCCACTGTTTTCTCCAATAGGATGTCATGCCCATCCCTCTGTCTTCCAAGAACCCAGATGTCACTCTCCTAAAGGGACCAACTCCAATCAGCAACTTCAAGACTTTTCCCCTCTCCAGTCATCAAAGAGTTTTTTCCTTCTAGCCAGGCATGGTGGCATGGCACCTGTAATCTCAGCACTCTGGAAGACTGAGGCAGAGGAATCACAACTTAGAGCCCAGCTTGGGCAACTTCATGACTTAGCAAGAGCATCTGGGGAGTGGACGTAGCTAAGTGCAAAACAATGTTCTTCTAGTACTTGTTGGCAACGAAAGTTAGTGACTACTATAACTGTGAGGTTAGACCTGTGATTTCAATTGTCTAAGTCACAGTAAGTTATTTTTGCTATGGGGGATAGAACTGAGGAATTTCCACTCGTGAGGCAAGCGGCGGCACCACTGAGATAAATCCCGGGCCCTCCCGGTGAGTTCTTAATGCCTTCTTTCTGCAATTTGCTTGCTTCTTTCATCGTGACTTCTAATACTGTTGTTCAGTTTCCACCCCACAAGCCCTTTCAGGAAGGCACACTCAGACGCAAACTGTAGTGAGGGGCCCGCCCTGAAGCAGAAGATGGGAAAATCAGGCCGCTTAAGGGAATTTAAACGAATTTTAAGAGGTTTGATAACTCTTCCAAGGACTAATGATAGCACAAGAAAGTGCTGGTGAGACGGTCATGGAAGGGGTCACGTTGGCTGAAGATGTCGCCAAGAGCCATGGCAGGGAGACATTGGGCTCCCCTACAAGCGAACCTATGTCTGCATGAAGAAAGATCATATTGTGACCCTGGTGTTGAGCCAAGACCGGCCTGCGCCTGACTCACGTGCAACAGGCCCGGCCTCCTCCCGACAAGCCGCACTGCTGCCGGCCGCCGGCAGGGGTCTCTTTCATGTCTTCGGAAACTGAAGAGAGCTCAGCAAATGGAAGCGAGAGGAGAGGAGGCTGGGAGCTGCAGGTCGCGCGGCGACCCGCCACTGCCGCGCGTCCTGTCCTGAAACCTTGGGTGGCAGCGCGGAGAGAGCGCCTGGCGCGCGGCAGGAAGCCGACCTGGCATCAGACCAGCTCCTCTCCTGCGGGCTTCTGGCCGCGAAGGCCCAAGATCATGCGCTCGCAGGACCTGAGGCCTGGAAGTTTTGACCCATTCCCCATCTTTCCTTTCCTCACTGGGAAAAGGGGCCTGTTGCGCTACCATCTTTCCACTTAGGAAAGAGTTTCCTAACACGTCCTGGGGTGGTAGCAGCAACCTACTGACAGAAGTCAGGCCAGTAACAGTCACTTTACTTTTTTGTTTTTTAATGAAATTAATTTATTTCACGATACTGGGGATTGAACCCAGGACCTCATTGCTGCTGGACAAGGCTCTACCACTAAGCCACACCCGCATCCTAGCTCCTTCCTTTCTTTCTAGACAATGTGCTAAGTAGGCAGGCTGGCCTCAAACTTTCCATCCTCCTGAGCACGTGTCATCACATTGGGCCACTATGTTCTTCACTTAACAAAAGTATATTCATTATCTACTGGTTGGTGGCCCTGTCGGGGACATTCAGTAGTGACCAAGGACTCAGACCCTGCACTGACCACCCAGGCCACTAAAGAAATGAGTCAGGTGTCCAGGCCTTGAAAATCCTGTTGATCCAAAAAGATTAACGCAAGCTTGCTTTTCTTTGTTTTTCCTCACTTCATTTAACAGTACATTCAAGGAGCCTTTACTGATGGCTGACCTTAGGACAGGCCTCTACTAGGTGCTGGGGTTCCAGTGGCAGACGAGATGCACCCCAGTCCTGAAGAACATTGGCAGCACGAGTAAGCAGGTAAACACAAAAAGCAAGCAATGGTGATGCAGCAGGGGCCATGCTCTGGCAGGCGTCTTGATTGTAGGGCACAAGAAGAAACAGGACAGGGCCCTACCAGCACCAGAATCCAGGGCAGACCCAAGGCCCAGCCTGTGTGACAAGGACATCAGTTGTCCTTAAATCTGAGACAAAGTACTAAAAGCATCCCAATTCCTGATCTTTGGACTCCTGATCTTTGCTGAACCCCTACAGATGGATGTATTTCCTGAAGAGTTCCTAGGCGGTAATATCAAGCACCAACATACTTTTCTCTCATGAAACTATGTTCTAGAATCTGACTGAAATGAGGAAAGAAAGGTTCACTCCTGTATCTACCTTTATGTAGCCTGGTTTTTGTCTTCCTGTTGGGTTTTTTTAAATTGTCTTGGGTATTTGTTTGATTTTTGGTGTCTTGTTGTTTGGTTGGTTGGTTGGTTGGTTGGTTGGTTTGGTTTGGTTGGTGCTGGGGATTGAATCCTGGACCTTTTCTCTGAACTACATCCCCAGCCCTTTATTTTGAGACAGGGTCTCAGTAAGTCACTTAAGTTTCCCAGGCTGGACTCAAAGTTGTGAACTTCCTGCCTCAGCCTCCCACAGTGCTGGGATTACAGGCATGTGTCACCATGCCTGGCTCCGGATTGAAATGGTGAAAAATCTATTTGGCTTTTTCTTTTTACTTGTTTTGTGATATATTTTAAAAATTCAGAATCCCAGGGCTGGGATTTAGCTCAGTGGTTCCGGTGCCTGATTTGCAAGTGCAAGGACCCAAGTTCGATCCCCGGTACCAGAAAAAAAAAAATAATAATAATTCAGAATCCCCTAAAAGCCCTTCCTTGCTCACTTACTAGGTTAACAGAATAGTGGCCAAGTGATTCCAACCTCTGGAGTTTGTAGGCAGAAAAAAATCTCAGCACATGACCAGGGAAAGAGGCACAAATTCTCCAGACACTGTTTTGGACATGTGAGGACAGAGGAAGGCTGTGCTGGAGACAGAACTGGAAGCTGCCTGGACTTGCTCTGCACACACACTGTGTCTCTTTTCTCCAAGTGAGAAACACAGAGCCCTCTGTGAGCAATGTAATTTGTTTTCTTTAAATTTATAAAACCACACAGATGTCTGTGTTCAGTGTCCACTGGATTCTGTGTTAATACTACATATCTACTATGCTTTTCAAAAAAGATAACTTTTGCCTCCCTCACTGAAGAAACATACCAGTCTTGTTCACTGTGCTGTCTGTCCATACAGTGCAGAGACCTGACTACCTAAATTGCTGCTGTCCTTACAACAGGCACAACTCATTTGCTTTCTTAGCTATTGAGAGCTGAACTCATTCTTCTTGGGACAGTGCTATGTCTTATCTAAAACAATACTCAGGTGGCCGGGCGTGGTGGTGCACACCTGTAATCCCAGCACTCAGGAGGCTGAGGCAGGAGGATCACTATGAGTTCGAGACCAGCCTGAGCGACATAGTGAGTTCCAGGTCAGCCTCACTACATAGTGAGGTCTCAAAAAACCAAAAGAAAGAAAGAAAGAAAGAGCTACTCAGAAAGCAACAAGCAACATTAATGGTTATTTCTTGGGGTGGTAAGCATGTCAAATATGCACACAAGAAAAACTAGGTACATTTCCATCATTTTTCATGTGCACTCAGAGAAGAGCACATATTCCAACTATGTTTCAGAAAATGGGTATAGTTTTGATAAACTGAGCCCCATTATCACATTTAAAACACCAGAGGTATATTCATATAGAAAAACTGTACCAACCCACCAAAAAAATTTTTTTAAATTTGTTTTAACAAGAAAAAGATAGCCTGCTCTATGACAATTCATAAAACTCTACAATAAGAAAAAGTCTTAACAACTAATTCAAATCCAAGGGATAGAATGTGCAAGGCTCTGAGTTCTATCCCAAGCACTAATAAAATCCAAACAATATCCCAGAGAGACAAATGGCTTTCCCACATCGAAGGGTACACACCTGGGGGCAGATGCACCGCAAGTGATTCACTCTTCCCTGCTCTTAGCGGTGTTGTTCAGATTCTTAAAGCTCCTTCCTCCTCACTCAGATTTTCTTTGGTAGGTTTGCCATACAGCCACATTTTACTCACTAAGACCGTCAAAATTTGTGCATTGAGCGAGGCCTTGTGATGCATGGCTGTATTTTTAGCCTTTTGGGGGGCTGAGGCAAGAGGAGCATTACTGGAAGGTGATGGAAACAGAAAGTAAGGACTAGTTGAAGGGAGTGGACCGTGGAGTATGATCTTGAGAACTATTATCTTGTTCGAGGCCAATCTGGACAACTTATTGAGACCCTCTCTCAAAATTTAAAAATAGAAAGGGCTGGAGATGTAGCTCAGTGCTCCAGTTCAATCCCCAGTACTGCAACAAAACAAAATTTAAAAACTGCTCATTCAATTTGTAAGGCATCTCGAGGATGGAAAAGGAAACCAAACAAAGCTCTCTGGCACTTACCTTTTATGCATGTAGGCAGAAAATAAACTGTTAAGTCCATTTATGGCCGATGATAAGTACCCTGAAGGAAACAAATGTAAACAGGCTGTGAGAGGAGAGTGCTTTTAGGGAGAGTGGTAAGGGATGTCCTGCTGAGGAGGGGGTCTTCAGACAAAGACCTGTCTCACTGGACTGGATGCACCATGCACTGGTAGCTGGTAATGGGGACAGCAAAGGCTGCAATGATAAATGCTTGAAGTCTGAGGAACGCCAAGGTCACTGTGGCTGACATGGAGATCACGATGGAAGAGAGGTAGAAAGGGATATATGAGAGGTAGCCAGGAGCCATGCGGTAGAAAGGCTGTTTTGCTTGGGAGCCAATCTGTCTCCCAAAAGGTTCACTGTGTTGAAGGGTTGAGTGCTGGTGGACTTTGGGCAGGTGATTGGAATATGAAGGCACCAGTTTCACCAGTGGGTTAATTCAGAGATGATGTCATAATTCGGTGACATCATTGGAAGGTGATGGAAACAGGAGGTAAAGACTAGTTGAAGGGAGTGGATCGTGGCTGTGACCTTGAGGACTATGTATAGTCCCAGCCCCTGCTTCTTTGGCTCTCACGCTCTCTGCTTCCTGACTGCCATACCTTGTGCCCCATGCCCTTTCCACCACTATACCCTTCTGCCCTGAAGTTTCTGCTTCATCACAAGCCTAAAGCAGTGGAGCCACATGACCATGGACTGAAACTGCTAGAACCAGGAGCCCAAATTTAAGTTGTGTATGTCAGGTACTTTGTCCTGGTGACAGGAGGCTGACTAACACAAAGGTGGACGGTCATTTTTAGAGTTGAGAGCAGGTACGTGACATGGGTTCAAGACCCTGTTCTTCTGTCTTTTCTTCATATTCTGGATGGTCAAAGTCTCTGTTTAAAAAAAAAAAAAGCAACCCAGAATTGTTCCCAGTATTCCAGGGGAGGCCTAACTTGCCCAGAGGAGAGCGGGACCATCCCCTCTTTTCTCATATAATATTTCTTTAATAATATCTGAGGCCTCTCTTACAGCATTTTGGGAAATCGTGTATTGAGCATGCTGTTTCCTTTCACATGTTGTACCCCTAAGACATTTTCCACCCAGGTTTCTTCTGTACCCTTCCCTTCTGCCCCTGGCCTATATCTGCTGATATTTTGAAGCTTCAGTGAACATCATCCTAGAAACTGAGTGCTTTCTTATAGCAAAAACTTTATTGTATTTGCTCATTCTGATTCCATTTAAACATGTCAGGTTCCAAAAATCTTCAACTGGTTTGGATGGCTACTAAGGGACCCAATTATGGAATATTACATTATGTTCTCTCTTATGCTACTTCTCTTTTATTCTACTGACAAATTGCTCCAAGCTCTTCAAAGGTTTCTGGACCTTGGTTCTAGTATCTTAATATATACACTATTCCTCTCATCATTGTGACAGCTACAAATTTCTTCAGCACATCACTGTAACAACAATATTATATGGAGAGAGGCCAAAGACAGAGCACTATCACAAACCAGTAGAGACTTCCACCAAAGTTAGGAAAGAACCAAAACTCTGGGAAAGTGATTGTTCATCCCACTGAAAACCAGACTAATTATATATAGTGTATACTATACTTTTCTATTAATCAACAGACACCATAATATTGTTTTCTCTAATATCTTACCAAACTTTTAATGTACCACTTTGACCTTCGAGCTCTTCATGCCATTGAGGAGATTAATTTCCACCTATTCCCCAAGTTCATATTTTCTTTAAAACTGCTTTTACCCACTTGACTTTTCCTCCTCACTGGGACCTCATCAGATACTGGCCACACCTAAAAATACTTGCTTCCTTCTTTTTTGTGCAATTGTGTAATACAGTTTTGTCTTCCTAAATGCATTGTATATGCATCTAAAACAAGCTGGATGTCAACTTTAGTCACCTGAATCGTATTTTAAGTATATGATGAACTGAATAAACATTCATTCATTGAAGTTATCAATCACCTCCTCCATAAGACAAGGATTTCCAGTATTTTATAATGTGGATTTTTGTTTACCTCCACCACTGAATTTTCTCAAAATGTGTGTATCTTTAAACACACGAACTGTAGGGCTGTTGTGACTTAAATCACCAATAAATCTTATACCTGACCCGTGATGTCCTTCTGCCACAAAATTCCTTAACCTTCAGTCTGCAGACTCAGCAAGATGAATAGTATTCCCTTAAATTGGTAGTTTGTGTGAAGTCAAAAGCAGTTTCCATCTGGATTACATTTACACTGACTCATACTGTTTTCTATTCATCATTATTGCTGCTCAGCAAACAAGATCCCAAGCTCCATGAGGATGGGACCATGTCTGTCTCACCATTTTCTCTCTCACCAGAGTCAAGGACAATGACTGCAATCTATGAATGCATATATGCAAAATGCTACTTCTATCCATAAAATAATTTTGGTCTTTCTGGGTGTGGTGACAGACACCTGTAATCCCAACACTCTAGGATGCAGAACCAGGAGGATCTCAAGTTCAGAAGCAGCCTGGGCAACTTAGCAACTTATCAATACCCTGTCTCAAAATAAAAAAATAAAACAGGGCTAAGAGAGGTAACTCAGCGAGCAGGCCCTGGGTTCAATGCCCAGAACTCCCCCCAAAATTAGTTTTGCAGAGAATCAATTGTAGACATAACTAATGCCTTCTGGAAAGGAATTTTGAGGGACAAAAAAATTTCTAACTGTGTTTGTCACTTTCTGCTGCTATAAAAAATACTTGAGGTAAGCCCATTTAATAAGAGCAAAGGTTCATTTGGGCTCACAGTTTGTGGGCTTCAGCCTGGCACTGGTTGATCTCATCCTGCCGGGCCTGTGGCAAGGCAAGGCAAGGCAGTTGAGAGCCTGTGCTGGAGCAAAGGGCTCACTTCATGGTAGCTGGGAAGCAAAGGGAGAGACAGGAAGGGGCAGGGGCCCCATGGCCACTCAAGGGCACATCCCACTGACCTAACTTGCCCCAACTTGGCCTCACTTCTCTAAGGTCCAACAGCACCACAGGCCGGGAGCCCCAGATAGCCCATATGGCCCTGTAGGAGACATTTAAGATCCAAACTACAGCACTGGCTCAAATGCTGAAATAAGAGTCTTGTTCTTGATCAGCACTTTTGGTCTCATGAACCCTATACTTTCTGAAAATACATTTTCTGAAACAAAAACTTAAAAAAACCAGCTGTTCCCCTTCTAGGTGTCTACCCGAAAGAGTTAAAGATATCATATTATAGGGAGATTTGTATATCCATTTTTATAGCAGCACAACTTATAATAACTAAATCTTGGAAGCAGCCTGCACATCCATCAGCAGATAAATGGATAAAGAAAATGTGGTGTTTATACATAATGAGTATTACTCTTCCATAAGGAAGGGTAAACCTGAGTCATTTATAGGAAAATGAATGTACCTAGAGACCCTAATGCTAAATGAAATAAATCAGATGTACAGGTTTAAATATCACATGATTTCTATTATATGACAAATAGCCTAAATAAAGAGCAAAATAAAAGATAAATAATAGGAAGTAAGGAGAATTGTTTTTGTTTTTGTTTTGCAAAAGGGAAGGGGATGGAGGGAAGGAGGACAGAGAAGAGGGGAAAGGAAAGAAAGAAAATTCAGATGTGTTATACAAAAAAGAAAAAAAAGATGTGCTATATACATGTAGCACTCCCCATGAGGAATGAAATGATCATGTAGGGCAAACATGTACCAATAGAAACACCCCCAAAATGAGAAGAGAGGCACTGTCTTACATTTTTAAGTCCTGAATTCCTGGTTCAGTAGAAGACAGTTAGCTTCTCATGTGTGTTTCTGCATTTGATCTGATGATGTTACCTACACAGGCACTCAGAGAAAGTCCACTGTACGTTCATCAGAGACTACACGTGAAAAAGGCAAGTAGTGACTTAGCATTATTAAAAAAATACTAAGCTCTGAGCTGTGCTCCCTGAAAGGGTTCTGAGGACGTGAGGATTCTGTACTACTTAAATATTAATAGCTATTCAGTTAATTTATATATATGGCCTGAATATCAGCAAGTTCATTGCCAAATTTAACAACCAGTTCAGGCTAGGAATTATAGTCCCTTGTAGCTCTGCTCACCCATATCAGACTTGTCTTTGACTTCCTTTTTGGTGTTAATAGCTCTTGATCATGCTTTGTCTGTGTTTTTACTAAATGTTGCTTCAATTCCTTTTCGGAAACAGGTCGATGTTTAAAAATATAGTGAATTATGGTTGTAGACTCATCCAGGTACCTCAGGATATACAAGTTTAATTTTATACTGCCATTGCCTGTAATCCCAGCACTCAGGAGGCTGAGGCAGGAAGATAGCTATGAATTCAAAGCCAGCCTGTGCTACATAGTGAGTTCAAGGCCAGCCTGAATTGTGTAGTGAGACCTTATCTCAAAAAAAAAAAAAATTTTTTTTAACTTCCATTTCATGTTCAATATCTATGTAGCTAACACACTTCACCAGGCCTGTTCTGGCTTATGTCTAGATCCCCCCCACCCCCACCCCCATCTCATGCTGTCATAGCTGGGGCTTTTCAGAGGTGGCTGGATCTAGAGTATATGATGCTGGGGTCAGGGATGTGTGGTTACAGCCAGGCGTGGTGGCACACGCCTGTAATCCCAGCACTCAGAAGCAATCCACCCAGCAGGAGGATTGCTGTGAGCTCAAGACCAGCTGGGCTACATAGTGAGTTCTACATCAGTCTCAACTACATAGTGAGACCCTGTCTCAAAACACCAAAAAAGAAAGAAAGAAAGAAAGAAAGAAAGAAAGGAAGGAAGGAAGGAAGGAAGGAAGGAAGGAAGGAAGGAAGGAAGGAAGGAAGGAAGGAAGGAAAGAAAGAAAGAAAGAAAGAAAGAAAGAAAGAAAGAAAGAAAGAAAGAAAGAAAGAAAGAAAGAAAGAAAGAAAGAAAGAAAAAGGATGTGTGGCTACTAATTAGCCCACTGACTGGTTTGGCATAGGTCTGGTTGTGAATAGTAGGAAGGCCCACACTGTGTGTGAGTGCTACCCACCCTAAGGATGTGTGGCCTGGAGAGAATATAAGGGACAGAAAGAATATAAGCTGCTGTCTCAGCTGAGTGACTCGGTACTGCTTCACTGCTTGCTGCCCTCTACTCACCATAATCTGTTTCTCCTCTGTGATACCTCTCTGCCATGCTAACTATGGACCGAAACCTCTAAGAAGTGTAAGCTACAATAAACCTTTCTTCCTTTAACTTTGGGTGTCAGATAGTTTGTCTTAGCAATAAGAAAAGTAACTAAGCCAACAATGGAAATATATATATATGTATGTATGTATGATAGTCATATAAAGATTAAGACATTCCTCAGATAGTCTCAGTGGGTTTTCTTAAAGCCCAGAGGATGGAGTCTGAATTGCAAGCAAACTGACATATAAAAGATACAGCTCCACCGTAGACAGCGTGTTCAAGCTGATAAGTATTCGAACTGTTTCTTGAGACTTCTTGGACTATGCCATTCCATTCATTTTTTTACATCAGTAACTAATTCGGTTGACATCTGTAATAGTCTCACATGATTTTTTGGTTTTAGTGTTTTGTTTTGTCTTTGAGGTACTAAAGATTGAACCCAGGGCCCTCACACTGAGCTAATCTCCTGCCCTTTCTTTATTATTTTGAGACAGGATCTCATTATATCAATAAATTGCCAAGTCTTGGCTTGAACTTGCAACCCTCCTGCCTTAGCCTCCCACAGTATGCAACACCACACCCAGAAATAGTCACACATTTTAAATGTTTGCCCACTGCACTTCAGTTTTGTGTCTTGGAGAATGGCATTTCAGGTATCCTGTCCCAGATACGCTGGATGGTAGCAGGTTATACACATGGTGCAGGCCGAGCTAAATTCTCCCTCCTGGCAAGTTGGTACTGGACTGTCACCTTTGGCTGATCTCTTCAGTAGATGAGACACAAACATGGTAGTTGGTGAGGGATCATGAGAAGAATAATGGAAATTGAGACATGAAGCAAAGAGGGAAGCAAGAAAGGTGTGCAGTATAGGGTGCAGCCATGTGCCCATGTCTTCAGGACACCCTGTTTCATCTCCATAGCTCCCTCAACACAGAAGCAAGCACACCTTGATTACTTGCAACCAAAAGGCTGAATGAGACAAAGAGCCAGAACCATCAGTGCACAGGCACTTAAGGATCCTGGAGAGCAGTGCAGGGCCAAAACCGCACTATTGACTCTCCCAAAACATCCATCAGACAGAAACCTCTTTCTGTCCAAGTCCAGCTGGATGAGGAAATGGCCATTCCTACAGCTTTCCACCCCAGAGGGCAAGTGACTGCACTTAGCACCACTCTGGATATTCATTGAAGGCACACACCCAGGGAACTGAATAAAAAACCCCTGCTGCCAATGAGGAGACTGCTTCTGCTACCTGCCTGTTCTCCCCTCTCCAACAGCACTCCTGGAGCAGCGAGCCTCAGTAACTGGAGGGCAGCCCACTTTTAAAAGTACCAAATTTTAGCAGTTGGTAATGGTATACGTCACAGGACATGAAGATGCTTAGAGGACTGATTTCCCCTTACCTGTATTCAGAGGTCAAAAGCTGGCCATGGAGAGGGGATGCAACTGCTGCCCCCAGGCAGCCTTGTGATGGCAGCTTCCCTGTCCTCAGTTTTTACAGCTGCAAAATGAGGAGGTAAAACAAGATGGTCTTTAATATCCCTTTCATCTTTAACTTCCTACAATCTTTGTGAGCTGGAAAGATTTACACAGAACTTCATCTTGATTTTATTACTCATCGTTCATCTTCCTGTGGGAACCAGAGGCAGCCTGTGCATGTGGAAGTAAGTGGTTCACGCTCGCTGTGATGATTTAAGAGGTGCTGAGAACCCAAAGAACCTCCCTCAGTGTTTGGCCATAGCTGAGGGCCCTGTTCATATGTAATTTCAAGTTCAAATGGCAAACAGCTTTTCACTCATTGTCTTTCCTGGACTTTCTCCGAATGCCTTAGGAATGGTAGGCAACAGAGGGATATTCACCAAAAAAGGGTGCTACAGTGACAGACAAGCCTGGAGAGGAAGTAGCATGGCAGCACAGCCACCAACAGCAAAGAGCTGGCCAGGTCGGGACCCAGCCTTGAGGCTCAGCCTGAGCTTAGGAAGGTGGGTGTTGGCTCTGGACACTGCAGTAAGCTGTGCCTCCTCTTGGCTCACCTGAGCCTCTTCTCTTCGGGGAGTTCTGCATTTATTTATGTCCTTCAAGGCGTCTTCTCTTCAGGAAGAAGGGGAGTCCCTGGCCACCCTCCGAGGCTCAGTGGTTTCACTGTGTCTCCCAAACTCATGTGTTAGAAGCTTGGTCTCTTCTCATACAGTGGTGCTGAGAGGTGGGGCCTAAAGAGAAATGATGGGATCACCAGGGCCACAGCCCCAAGGATGGAGTGAGGTCAGGATGGAGAGAATGAGTCCATGGCCCAAGAGGCTAGGAACGCAAGCCTACCCTTTGTGCTTTCTCTTACACCTGCTGTTTCACCCCACACCTTGTCATTATGGTGTAGCACCAGGGCCCGTCTAGGACACTGAAATTGTGCCCATGGTCCCAGGTTCTAGAATTGGGAGCTAGTCAATTTTTCTTATAAGTTACCTACTCAGGTATTTTGTTACAGTAACAGGAAAGGAAAGCCTGACAATAGGCTCCAGGAAAAAGAGTCTTTCTTAGGGGCAGTCTCTCCCCACTTTCTACCATCTGGACCAGTGATGATGAACCTTTTATAGACCGAGTGCCCAAACTGCAACCTAAAACCCATTTATCACCAAATGCCAACACTGCAATTAAAGCTTAGTGGTCAGCTGCTGTGGCAATGCTGGGGTGACTTGGCTTGTGTGCCACATGCCATAAGTTCACTGCCACTGCTCTAGATTCTCAAGACAAAAGGACTAAGGATAAGCTGGGCATGGTGGCACACATCTGTAATCCTAGTACTTGGAGGCTGAGGCAGGGGGACTGCCAGCCTGGGCTACATACTGAGACACTGTCCCAAAAAATCAAAATAAGAACAAAAACAAAAAAAAAAGACTAGTCATCGTTAGCCACTCGAGGACGATAGCCTGAGTCTGTTGTAGAGCTGTAGCTGGGAATTACTGAGGCCTCTTCTCTATGGCCTGAGAGGCACCCTCCTTTAAAGGGAAGCTGGCAAGTGGAATCCATTTCCTGTTTCTCTTGGCTGTAAGCCTAAGGAACTGTAGTCATCCTGCCCTCGTAGCCATGTCCCCAAAACAAACCTCAGGTGTCATGGGCTGTAAGCCCCACGTTGGTGGCTTCAGTCCTTAACCTGAAGAAATGGAGAAAGGCTAATCACGAAGACACCTTCCTAGCATTTCTGTGGATGTATTTATCAACATGGCAGCTGCACAAGGTTTAGAAATAAATGAACCATCAGCACCCTGAGGTATTATTCTACCACACTGCTTCTTAAACATCAATTCCCTCTACAGTCTTTTGGAACATGTGTAAACATTAGGCTTGAGACTAGGCTGCTTACTGACTTTCTTAGCAGGCTGGACTTGTCAAATCATCATCTCATTTAGGGGGACGATGGGTGTTGTGGTGTGTAGATATCAAATAGTAGTAAAAACAGCAACTGAAGCAAAAAACACACATAGTGGGCTCTGGACCTTCTCTGAAAAGAGACTATCAGAGGAGCAAAGGAACAGATAAAGGTGTGTTTTATGCTTGCTAAGGAGAAACATAAAAAGGGATAGACATTCATGTTGGATCCAAATGTCCCATCACCATCTCCTATGTATTCAGCTCCTTCGTCTCCAGGGTAAACACTTTGTGAAACATCACAGGGGCCAGAAATCCCAGTTTCCCCCCAGAATGTTCTTCAAGGTCCAGCAGAAATTTCTGGGTATGTTGCAAGAATTGCATTAGACCTTCTAGCCTGCGTGTGTGTGTGTGTGTGTGTGTGTGTGTGTGTGTGTGTGTGTACTCAGAGACCAGGTTTTACCCAGGCTGGGCTCAAACCTGTGATGCGCCTGTCCGAGACTCCCTAAGTGCTGGGATTATAGCTCCTGCCGCTATGCCTGCCTAAACCTCACAGTTTAACTTGCCTTGTTGGCCACCCCTCCTCACTACTGTAACATTTCCTTCTTAGAGGAATGGGAATTGGGGATTTTTCAAATCCTGTTGGATAGTGAAGTGATTTTGTACAGGGATACTAGCCTAGGGCCCAGGGAATTTCCCTAATAAGCCACAAGACTTGGGTTAGCCAGAGATAATAGCTACTCAAGTACCCACTTTAGAAAGGGTCTAGGAATTGTGAGACTCCCGCTAATGAAAGGCTGCAGGAACATCCTGAGGAATAAAAATGCACTGATTGTGTCCATTGTGAAATACAAGTCTGGGAAAACCCTGAGCATATACCTATCTACTGCAAATCAACCTGCCCATCTGTCTTCTAAACAAGGTGCTGGTTCAGTCTGTGTTGGAGCTGACCTGCCTTTGCCCTAAGCTTCCCAGTACTAAGTTGCATCACAGAGTGAACTTTGGAGTTAGAAGTTAGAAGTTTGAGTCTCAGAGAGCCAGAAGGCTTTGTGGTTGTTGCCAAGTCCGCAACTCCCTCTGCTCATGTGTAAAAGAGGAATAAAGCAGTCACATAATTGTTTTAAGGGCTGAATACAACGAAGTTCGCTGCACTTTTCACACAGTGCCTGACGCTGAAACTATTTATTGTGTGCCTGCTATATGCTGCGCCCACCCCCTAGGGATTCCGGGCTTTGTACAAGAGGCCATTATCACATCTGTTCTCCTCACACCCTGGCTGAGGTGACCCGCAAAGTAGTCTTCCCTGGACCTGGGCTATACACACCACTCTTTTTCTGTGTATGGTGCTGGGGACTCAACCCAGGGTCTTGTGAATCACAGTGGTCTTGTACCAGGAAAGCACTACAACACTGAGCAACCGCCCCAGCCTTAAAAAAAATTCTTCTGAGAGAGGGTCTCAATGATAAGTTGCCTGAGCTGGGCTCCAGACTTGGAGCAGTCTTTTTTTTTCTTCTTCTTTTTTTTTTTTTTTTTTTTT